GAGAATACTCATAAATAGGAAATAATGTGTCTTACAAACCGGGGGATGAACTCATTCCTAATACAAATACAAGAGGTACACACATCATGGGGCCCTAGATGCAAGAAAAATCACAAATCAAGTAGCCAAAAAGCAATCAAGAACTAATGACAGCAATACAACACAATAAGCTAAAAAGGCAGCCATAATAACTGAAACCTATAGCTAAAACAATCTGATAAATTGACAATAATTAGCAAGAAGAAGCAGAAGCAGAGAAACAACAAATGTGAGAGCCAAACAAGTAGCACACCACTGAACCAAAGAGGACCTGACAATGCTTTCTATCAGCTAGCAGCATTTGAACTATGTCCAATCTTTTAAAGCAGCTTTCACTACTTCAGCTTCAGGCATAAGGGAGTTCTGAAATTTTCAGAGGTTCTTGGACTTCCACAATCACCATAGGATATAAGTAGAGAGTTGAATTCTATCTCGAGAGATTGTGGATCGATCCAGAGAACAAACCTTCCACCACCAGTTCCTAAAATGCTGAGATTCATCAGAAAGACCATCCTATGTCACTGGAGCAAGTTTCCAAATTCTCTGAGCCCTTGGACAAAGTAAAAGGGTGTGTTCCACAGTCTCAAGCTCCTCTCCACAGTGCTGACATAAGGGATCAACCTTCACGCCTCTAGTTTTAAGATTAAGGATTGTAGGCAGGGTGTTGCTATAACACCTCCATAAGAAGTGTTTAAGCTTGCTCTTTACCTTCAAATTCCAACTCATGTTCCTAGCTGCCCTAACAGAACCGGCAGAGAGGCTTCCTTCAGCAACATCTAGTGATAAAACCTTTTGCTTGATAAGATAAGAGTAGGTGCTAGCAACTGAGAATACTCCCTTGGGGTCAATGCTTCATTTCCATCTATCCTTGGCCAAAGGGTCAAGAGTTTTAATGTCTTGAATGGCTTTCACGTTCTAATCATCAAATAATGTGTGTAAGAGGTTAAAATTCCATCTTCTATCTCCAGCTTCCAGAAGTTGGTAAACCCCAACTAAACCGCATGGGACTCCATGTTTTAGGGAAGGAATACCAGCTTTTAGAGATGGTACCCAGGGATCCTCCCAAATTCTGCTAGAGACCCCATCTTTCACCTCAATTCTAGAGAAGTGCTTATACTTATCTGTGACAGCCAACCAATTTGACCACAACCAAGAAGAGGTATATGGTATCTGAACATGGATGATAGAAGAATTGGGAAAATACCTGGCCTTGAGGACTTTCTAACCAGGATATTAGGCTTGGTGATGATTCTCCAAATTTGCTTCAGGATGAGAGAGTCATTGAACAACATGAGATCTTTGAATCCAAGTCCCTCAGATGCTTTAGGGCTAGTGACATATTTCCAAGCTTTCCAAGGTAGTCCAGTTGTTTGATCTTTTCCCATGCTCCACCAGAAGGTAGAGCAGAGCCCAACAATCAATCTACAAACAGATTTAGGCAAGCAAAAGCAGGACATAGAGAAAACAGGCATTGCATCCAACACAGCTTTAATTAGAACTTCCTTTCCAGCAGAAGAAAGGAAATTATTCTTCCAGTTAATCAGTTTAGATCTCACAGCTTTTATCACAAAGTCAAAAACATCTTTTTTGGATTTCCAATGCCCAAGGGGAGCCCTAGATATCTGGTAGAGTTTTGAATCTGGATACCCATCAACTGGTTACAGATATTGGCCTTTAGGAGAGAAGAGCAATTTTTACTAAAAAAGATGGAAGATTTACTCATATTGACCCTCTGACCTATAAACTTCCTATATTTATCAAGCAATTGAAGGAGCAGAGAAGCATGATGGTTATCAGCAGAACACATTACCAGAGCATCATCAGGAGAAATGAGGTGGGATAAAGGGGGCCCAGATCTAGAAATTTTGAGGCCTTTAAAATTACCCTTCCTTTCTTCTGAAAAAAGCAGCCTGGAGAAAATTCAGCAACAAGAATGAAAAGGTAGGGGAATAATGGATCCCCCTGCCTAATCCCTCTAGAAGCAGTGATAAAAACTTCAATCCCACCATTAATGTTGAAAGAATAAGAAGTGGATGAAACACAAGCAAGAACCCATTTTACAAAAAGTCTATGAAAGCCTAGCTTAGATAAGATATTCTGAATACAGCTCCATTCAACTCTATCAAAAGCTTTCTCTAAGTCTAGTTTCACAGCCATATAACCCTTAGTTCCAGAAGAATGTCTGTTAAGAAAATGAATAGTTTCCTGAGCAAGAACCACATTATCAATCAACAACGTACCAGGAATAAATGCAGCCTGGTTCAAACTGATACAATCATTCAGGCAAGGTTTTAGTCTTGAGGTTAAGATCTTGGAAATAATTTTATAAGTGACACTACAGAGGCTAGTGGGCCTAAAGTTAGCAATAGAGGTAGGTTTGGCACGTTTAGGAATGAGGGTAATGAGTGTGTGATTCCAATTTTTCAAAAGAGAACCACATGCAAAGAAACTTTGGATAGCCTCACATAAATCAAATATAATCACATCCCAGAAGGTTTGAAAGAAAAGATGGGACATTACCATCTTGTCCAGGTGCTTTACTTGCCTCCATGCTGAATAAGTCCTTTCTGATGTCATCCTCTGAGATGGGAGAAATTAGAGTAGTGTTCATCTCTTCAGTAATGGAATTGGGAATAAGCTGTAAGATTTCAGATCATCCGAGTCACCTTCAGAAGAGAAAAGATTCTTATAAAATTGACTAACATAGTTCTTAATATCTTCTTCAGATTCACATATTCTTCCTCTCTCATTAATCAGTCTGGTGATGGCATTGTCCTTTCTCCTCTGCAGAACTAAGGCATAAAAATACGTTGAATTTGAGTCACCCTCCTTGAGCCACTGAGCTCTTGCTTTTTGATGCCAGTAATCTTCCTCATTCTTCAAAATCACCTTCAATTCAGAATTGAGGTTATGTCATTCATCCCAATTTGTACTGTCACCTAACTTACTCAGCTCCTCCAATCTGTAAGCCACTATATCCTTCACTCTTTATCTTTCAGTTATGAAGAATCTGCTCCATCTCAAAAGGGCTACTCTTGTCTTCTTGATCTCTTCAGTGACTTGAAACATAGGGGTCCCAGATTTTGGAGTGTTCCAGGCAGTAGCAATTGTTTCCCTAACACCCTCCATTCTTAGTCATCTCCTGTCAAAATAAAATCTCCTGGTTCTCTTGAGAGTTGCTAAATATGAGAGAATAAGCATTCGGTGGTCAGAGACAGTTTTGTAGAAGGTTTCCACTTGTGCATTCTGGTGAGAGCTTAGCCAATCAAAAGAACCAAATATTCTGTCTATTTTTTCTTCAATGAATCCTTCAGACTCTCGGTTGTTTCCCATGTGAACTGGTGGCCAAGCATCTTAACTTCTTGCATCTGCATTCTGGAAATAAAATAATTGAACCCTCTGAGCTCCATGTCAGATTTAGCTCTCTCTCCTCTTTTTTCACTCCCCTCACAAATTTCGTT